GGCCGGGCCGTGGAGGGGGCTGAGCTCCGCGGGACAAGTGGGCCAACTTTGAATGGGTTTCAGGTGGTGGCAGTAGCTGGCATCTCCGCTCGTGAGACTGCAAACTTGAGTGGCAGGGACCGGTTCCTTCCCTTTGGAAAAAGAGTGCGGGGCTAGTCTGGGGACGCGGGGCCTTTTAGGAGCCTCGGCACGTCTTTCCGGCTCTTGCCAATCTGTCCTGGTTGCCTGCTTTTTCCAGCGCCCCAGGCCGTTCTGCCCCGCGAGGGAAACGGAGCCGTTGACCATGGTTGCAACTGGCAGTTTGAGCAGTAAGAACCCGGGCAGCATTTCAGAGTTGCTGGACCATGGCTTCTACCCGGGGAGCCTGATAAACGGTGAGTGTCCCAGTGCCCGCCTCTCTCTGCTCCAAAGGTTGCAGCCCCTCTATGGGATCGGATTGGCAGGGAGGCGGTGTCGCCCCTTTCCTCAGTGGAGGTGCCACAAAATCCATCTGAGAAAACTTCTTTCCAAACTTTCTAGCAACTTCTGACCATGATAGTGAGAAACAAAATAAATAAATTAATTAAATAAATACTAAATACTGAGGGCTGTATAGGTCTAGTAGGTTGCTAAGAGGCTCTTTGGGATGAAAAGTTATGTAGGTTCCTTACCCTACTTGGTTGTAAAGTTTTGGTGAATTTTAAGTGTTCAGTTATGTATGTTTTAACAAGGGTAATCATGGTAGTCACTACCATGACCCTCTCTCCCCAAATTCCCATGGACCTATTTGCCATCAATTCTCTCCTCTCCCTCTCCCCCGTTTACTTTTGCCTCTAGAGTTTTGTGTAAATGGAATCACATAATATGTACTCTTTTGTAACTGGTTTCTTTCCTGCAGTTCAATTATTTTGAGATCCTTCCGTGGTTGTTGCTTCTATCAGCATGTGTTCCTTTTTATTGCCGTGTAGTATTCTATTTGTGGCTGTATCCATTATTCTGTTTTTAATGCCAGAAGAAAATTTTAAAACTGCAGTGATGCTGGTCATGCTGTCATTTGCAATTTTAAGCAGCAGTTTCTAAGTGCACACATTGCCCTGCGGTGAGGAGCTGTGTGGGCACAGGCCAATCGCTGAAGACCTTTGGGCCCTCCTCATTTAGAAGGCAAAGTGGCTGATCTAATTTTATAGGCCAACTCTCTAAATTCTCTGTCTTCAGCATATGAAGCCTTATAATTTGGATTGCATTTGTTTTATTTAGTTATAAAAAAAAACAATGATCTAAGAGAATACGCAATGTGGGGAAACCACAACAGCCAATGAGGGTGAAGTAGGCTTAGGGAAGAGAGCCCGCACGACCTCTGCCTGCATCCAATTGACTGGGTGTATGGCATCTTGCCAAGTGGTAGGATTAATTTGGAAGGAAGGTGACCAAATGCAGACCTATCTCTTTTCCTTGCGCAAATCTAATTTTGTTTTCCTAGGACTATTTTGTTTTGGTTGGCCATGGAAAACTACCCAGCTAGTTATAAATATCCCGGTGGACCTCAAAGGTCTTCTTTGAGCAATTTTTAATCAAAGAGGTTGAAGCTAAAATTGGAATTTACAGGTCATCCCAGTAAAGACTTTTAAAGAAAGAAACAGATTTAATAAATATGTAATATAGCTCCTCAGATTCATCCTAAAATTCATCACTTAACAATAGCAAAAATTTGGTATTTTAAAAAAATAAACTCATATATTCTCAGAGTCAGAAGGTAACAGTTCCTTAGTAAAAAAAAAAAAAAAAAATGTATATAACCGTTTTTACTCTAGAAGTAATGCATGTTCCCTGTAAAATAAATTGAAAAGTTTCCTAAGCAAGTAAGGGAGCGAGAAATGAAAGAAAATCACTAATAATCTAGGATACCCATAGATTTTTGATCCATAGTCTTTAAGATTGTGTGTGTGTACACAAAAATTTCTTAAAAAATGGTTGTATCCTATCCACTCTATTTATCAAAACCTTTATTTCCACTAGTAAACATCAAAGGGAGATCAGCTGATCTAACATTGGATATATTGGAAGCAGGTAGATGTGGTAGAGACCAATGTTGCTATCTTGGTATGTTTTTCCTGCTCCTGGATTTCTTTTTTTTTTTTTTACTTCAAACTTCTATTTTCTACAGATTTTGACTACTGGGATTATGTTGTTCCTGAACCCAACCTCAATGAGGTAATATTTGAGGAGACGACTTGCCAGAGTTTGGTCAAAATGCTGGAGAACTGTCTGTCCAAATCCAAGCAAACCAAACTGGGTTGCTCCAAAGTCCTTGTCCCTGAGAAACTGACGCAGAGAATCGCTCAGGACGTCCTGCGCCTCGCCTCCACCGAGCCCTGCGGCCTGCGAGGGTGTGTCCTGCACATCAACGTGGAGGTGGGCAATGTATGTACAAAGCTGGATCGGATTGTGTGTGACTCCACTGTGGTGCCCACCTTTGAGCTTACACTCGTGTTTAAGCAGGAGAACTGCTCATGGACCAGCTTCAGGGACTTTTTCTTTAGTCGTGGTCGCTTCTCATCCAGCCTCAGACGAACTCTGATCCTGAGCTCAGGATTTCGACTTGTTAAGAAAAAGCTTTACTCCTTGATTGGAACGACAGTCATTGAAGAGTGCTAAGAGGGAAACATTTTACTAGTAAAAGGTCCTTTTTATGATTGGGTAATAAAACTGCAGCTGCTCAGTTACAGTCATTGTAGTTTGCCCTGCCTGCTTTCAAGGAAAAACCCCCAATCAAGTTCTTCTGCATTTCATAGTCACAGCAAGCCCAACTAAAGGGATTATTCTGTGGCTTTTGAGAAATGACCCCCATGTCTGCATTATATCACTTTTTTTTTTTAACAAAATGGAATGGCATGGAATACGGAAGGAAAAGGAGCAATCCACTTTAGCTTTGTATTTGACTACACAAAGTTTTCCATGTAGTCTTGCTGATAGACCATTAAACCAACTTTGTTTAGTTTGATTTTCATATTGCTTTTTTTCTTCTGTAAGTTTTCAGAGTGATCCTATCAATCACAGAATCTTACTGAGTGATGCTTAGTCCATCAAAACATCCAGAAGCCCACACCACCAATTTCCTGCCCCTACCCTCATTTGAAGGGTCCTTATACAGGAGAATAGAATTAAGTGGGTGAGCATAATTCACACTTAACCCCATGCAAGAGTGAATAAGAAACCAACAGAAGAATAGAACTACTTCACTGTTTTTTTGCATACTCTTCTGGGTATTTTTGTTAGTTTGATTTAGTGTGTGTTTTTAAATACGTTTTATTGATTTTTAGAGGAAGGGAGAGAGAGAAACATCCATATGAGAGTGAAACATCGATTGGCTGCCTCCTGCATGTCCCCTACCAGGGATCAAGCCGTAACTTGGGCATGTGCCTTGACCGGGAATGGAATCAGCAACCTTCCAGTGCACAGGAAGATGACCAACCAACTGAGCCACACCAGCCAGGGTTTCACTCTTCTGTTCTAAAGAGGTGGCATAAACTGAAGCTGCCATTTAATAACTACAGTGTTGTTTTACATAACTTCATGGACAATATAAACTCAGTTTTTCTAGTTCTCAAGTATTGAGTGATATCTTTAAACTAGAAAGAATGGAAAATGTTAAGCTGTTATTTTGCATATAGTTAATTTCTCTTTTTTATGTGAATGTATATGGAGATAGGACATGAGTTCTCAGTTCTCATCCCTTTCTCATTCATTTGATAATCTAGCTTCTTTTCACTATTACATATGCTTAATCTCAGATGAACTCTCCCACCGGTCAGTGTTATCTCATCCCTGGCCTCTCCTAGGAACTCAACTATCTTTACCCATTCTTCAAAGGAGATAGCTGTATTCTACCACTTTTCATTATTAAGATAGGTCTATTACAACAGACTAGAGAATGAAAGCCAGGATGGAACCCAGCTTTCTTCAACCTAGGATACCTGTCCCTAGGGAACAATAAAGGCCTTATGTTTTTCTTGTTCTTACTGTCTTTTTTATGCTAATGAGAGAATGTAACCTCTACACTACAGTGTTCATTTCTGCAAGTCCTTCACATCCTTACTATAGGTCATGAATAAGGAATTTATTCACATCTTCTGTCCAAGCTATTAGCATCACTTTACGTACCTGAGGGAGGGTGGTAGGGACCGATGGCTTCATCCTGGTGTAACTCAAAAGCAGGTAGATCCTGTTACTCTTCCTATAGGTGACCTAAAACTTCACTATTCAAACCAGAAGGCCCTCTCTAGGGCTGGGCCAGTGTAATTTAACCGTGTTTGGCATGTCTATTATTAGGGTTCTGACAGTCACTGTGATTCTGTGGGCGAGGCTTCTCTAGCAGGATGTAGAGCTGCTGTCCCTTTTCCTCTAAACAGCTGTCTTGTATGCTCACAAAGTGGTGATAATGGCTTATGGAGACCTTTAATTAATATTTCTGTTAAAGGAAATTACAGTTTGTCTATTTTTGACAATAAAGCATCATATATTTTTAAATTTTTTTGTCCTCTTTGTCTTTTCTGAGTTTTATTCAATGATCACCCTAAAATATACTTGACAATATTTGAAGGAAAATGACAAAACATTTATCTATCATTTAAGTGTTTTGCTTCATAATTTTTCAAATACAAAAGTACATTTTATAGGGAGATAATAATTTGAGCTCCTTTGGCAACCACCTTTAAAAACAACAACAACTCATGGTGTAAATGCTTTTCCTATAGTTTTCCTAATGACCAAATGCAAATATATCAAATTGTGAGATCCGTGTACATTTTTATTTTTATCAGAATATTCCATTTGAATCATGTCTTTCTAGTATCACTGTTATTCATCTTACCTATCCTTTCTGTTTCAAATTTCTGGTCATTAGCTCACATTTCTCTCACTACATAACACATTTAATAAGACTTGCTAACTGGTGGGCACTGTACTAGGTGCTTTATATAAATTCTTTCATTCCTCACAAGAGTCGTATGAAATGAAACTACTGTCATCTCCATGTTATAGATAAAGGACCAGACACAGACAGGTTAAGTAACCTGCCCAATGCCACCAAGTTAAGCAACAGAGCCAGAGTATAAACGAAGCCAACTGCTGCCTCCAAAAGCCCAAACCAGCGCAGAGACCATATTCACAGAACCAAGAGTCTACAAAAACCATGTCAGAAACATTTGCCCCTAAATTCAAAGTACAATTCTTATGGTGGTTTCTTGTCAGGTAGGAAAAAGGAAGAAACTACAGTACTGACAATACTCCCCATTCACTGGAGCAGAGCTGTGCTTAGAATAAGAAGTCCAAGTGTTTAAAAGATGCATTTCATTCCTTCCACCTTCATGCCTATCCTAGACAAGTAGCCTAAAAAAAAAGTGTGATCTGTGCCCTAGCTACCTTTATTGAGAAATAAATCTGTTAGCTACAGTGCGTGATGGCCTCCTAAAATAATGAAATGCCTTATTTTCCTCTTATTAGTAGAAAGATACCATTTTATAGTAATGATGCCATTGGAATTAACCCAGTTATTAATTAATTAATAGGAAAGGAGCAAAGGGGAGGCTGGATAATATAGACATACAGTTTGTGCCAGGAAGCTGCAGCTTAGCGCTCTCCAGGTCTGTGCCCTGCAGATCCTGGGGACCCTGGGAAAAGGGACTGAAGAGAGAAAGAATAGACACATGCCCAGTAAGGTCTGAATAACATAGGAAAGGTGATTATCTGTCCGTCACACCTGGGAGCAGGTTATTGGCCAAAATAGGCATGGCCACTGCCAGAGACCCAATCTGGGATACGTAAGCTCCTGAACAAAGGGAGTTCCTCTTGCCCTTCTCTTTTGCTGCTCACTCCTGGCTCCTGGCTTGCAGGGCCCTCACACCCTGCACCGGCCCACATGGCCAACGGCCACATGGACCCCACACAATAGACTGATGGATTGCAACTAGCCCGATGCTCCGCCGGACTCAGCTCCGCCATGGAACGGAAACTTTGGACACTGGCTTTGCTTCTAGCTCTGCTAAAGCCCTAGCTGCACCTTCTCCGGGACTGGTTTAAGGGAAATAGGACTTTAGAAATCGCGGGTTATAACTTCACACAAATAAAAATCACTGATTCTCCCGTGGGAGTCTTAGAAAATTCTTTTTCTCAAGATGTCATAAGAACCTGACCCCCAGCACCCAGTGGAGAAAGAGATTCCCCACTTCTACTGGTGGACACCCCACTTCCACTAATAACAGAAACGGATTCAATATCCTGAATCTATTTCTCCAATGTTCTATATCCTCATGGAGTCAGCTTCATATGGCACTATGGACAACTTCCCATTTGCATAGTAGACGGATATACAAGTATAAAAGTCTTAGGTCTACTACATTCAGTTCTCAGTGATCTAGATTGGTTTAAACAAATGACAATAACAAAAGTCCAAGGCATGTTGTTGGCACATGAGGGAAGGAAGGGTACATGGTCATGAGCATCATGCAACTGTTCAAAACCCCAGACTCTTGCCTAGACTCTGCTATTGATTTTTGACTCATAAGACTCCACTGGGTCCTCTGAATCTGCCACAGACAAGAGGAGAGAGACTGAGGGATCTCATAGAGACTTAGGAACCAGGTGGAGGAGTGATGGACATGACTTCTGTCTGCATCCCACATAGAACTCAGCCACGCAGCCCCATTAAATTGAAAGAAGAGCTGCGAAATGTGGTTGAAAGGTGTGCTTAGGAAGAAATGAGCTTGATGAACTGTTTCTGACACATAGGAAGAGGCAAGTTAGTCTAGGAACTAATAAAGAACCCAGACACAGACCTACACATATATGAAAAGTTGGTTTACAGCAGAATTGTACCTTCAGATAAATGGGTAAAGGATGGTGTTTTCAATAATTGGCGCTATAATAATTATCTATATGGCAAAAAATGAAATTGGATGCATATACGTCAAGCATGAATATCAATTACAGGTTTATTAAAGAATTAAATATGAAAGGGAAACTTTCAAAAGAGAATATAATTTTTATGATTTTGATGTAAGGGAAGATTTCTTAAAGAAGATGCAAAAAAAGTGAAACTTCTATTTATCACATAACACTATAAAGATAATAAAAATACAAGTCATGAACTGGAAGGAAGTATCTTCCACAATTATAACTCAAAAAGAGTGACTACCAGAATATGTTAAGAATTCCTTCAAAACAATTAGAAAAACAAACAACCCAAAAGAAGAAATACGGGCAAAAGCTTAGAATAGGCACGCTACTGTAAAGGGCACTCAGATGGCCGATAAACACATGCAACGATCCTCAGTCTAACCAGTAATTAGGGAAATGCAAACTAAAAGCACAATAAGGCAGTAAGGTATAACACATCCACATTGGTCAAAAAAAAAAGTTCAACATCGGGTCATTCAGATGTTGGTGAAGATATGAAGGGAAAAATACTCCCTGCAACATGCCCATATATGTGAATTCAGTCTGGCATTCTTTTGTAAAATTGAAAATAAGCATATTTTATGAGAATACAATTCCATTTTTAGTTATCAAATCTAAACAAGTACACTACTGCCTTATTTTTTAATTGCCATCTAAAATTTTCACCCTAATTACAAATAATTTTCATCCTCGTTACAAGTAATTTTAAGTTTCAGGGTGTGGTAAATACTGATCTTTTAAAATAAAAATGATTACATCACCTTGTTAAATGTTTCCAATGGAATGTAAATAGCACAGTAATTTAACACCAAATTTTATTTAGAAAAAACTAAAATAGGGTCTTCAACAGTATAAATTTTTCAGTGTTACTTTTTAAAGTCTAGGTTTCTACTGAATTTTACCTTTCTGTTATCTATTTTAAGTTTGACAGTCGGTATTCTCTACAATAGAAACAAAATGATTTGTTAAATGTTCTGTAATCATAAGGCTCTTCATTTTTTGACTGAGTTAACTTTACAAATAATAGAGCACAATGATCAAAAACAA